TCCTGAGACTCTGTGACTGAGTCAGGAGCTGCCATACATGACAATGCCGATTCCCTTATTAGGGGGCTACTGCCCAGGGTCACAGCACCACTGGGAGCCCTTTGTTCTCATCACCCCAGAGGCTGACTCCCACAGACTAGGGTATGAAAAAAGCTCCATCAGCCTGCATCTACTCCCCCTTTTCTCTCTCTTTCCCCGCCAATGCTCAAATCAGGCCTGGCCTGGGCTAGGAAATCGAAACCTGCTGCCATCTTCCACTTCTACGGTCTTTCATCTTTATCCCCAGGCTCCAGTCCCCAAATTGTGTCCTTATAGATCCAATCTCCCCCAGACCTGTCAGTTCCAGGACAATGATGGGTGCGAGTGAGGGTAGGGGTGGGTGGAGCAGGTCCACTGACCAGCAGAGTGTGACCCTGAGCTCCACTAAACTAACAAGCCAATGAGCACCATTCCTCAATATCCAACAGCATGGCTTCAATTGAATATACTACGGCTCACCCATGTAAAAGATGTACTGTACAAGCTTTTAAAAAACATTTTCTGGTATGGGAAAATGATTACAATATTCTGTTACATTAAGGAGCAAATAGGTTCTTTTCTAGTCAAATGCTACAACATGGATGAACCTTGAATACATCATGCTAAGTAAAATAGGCTGACACAATTATGGTACGAGTCTAAAGTAGGTAGACTCGGAAAAACACAAAGTAGATAGTGGTTGTCAGGGAGGAGGGGGACATGGGAAGTTGTTGTTTAATGAGTATAGAGTTTCAGTTTTGCAAGATAACCGAGTTCCGGAGATTTGGCGCACCACTATGTCAATATCCTCAGCACTCCCGAACGGTGCACTCGAACTGGTTAAGATGGTGCACGTTTTCTGAAAATGCAAAAGATTTTTTTTTTTTTCGAACTAAACCACAAACAACAGCAAAAACCTGATTTTTTAAGCTAGAGGTGACAATGAGTAAGAATGGTTCTGGCCTGGGATCTCAAGGAGCTTCCATACTCCAATGGGAAGACCAGTGAATGGGGAACATGCACATGAAGAAGTAGAGCATTACAAGGACAGGGAGGGAAAGAGCTGCACACAGTGCTCCGAGCAGCTTAAAGCACAGCACTGACCTGGCCCACGAGGTGAGGAGAGCGGCTAAGGGACAAGAAGTGAGGGCAGGACCCCAGGAGTGCGTCCCAGGGAAGGGGAAGAGCTCACTAGCGGCTGGGGATCCAAGGACATGCCCTCTGGAGGCAGAGAATGCACGCATCCTTTCCTGAGTGTCTGGAAGGACACACACACACACCCTGGCCACCAAATTCCCTCTAGCTGGTAAGGTATCATTGTGCCTTATTCTCTTCCTGTACCTCTGTATCTTACCACTTTTCCACCGTGAGTTTGGGTGATTTTGCAGTAAGGAAAGAGCATAAGGAAACAACCTTACTGCGCAGACTGATAGCAGCGCTCTTTATTTATTTATGCTCTGACTTGCTTCAAAGAGGATTTCAAGCTGCTTACAATTATGTTAACAATATAGCAGTCTAAAAGACCTTGTCACTAAGTAAGAACAATGAGGGGAAGGAAAAGTGCAGCTGAAAGAGTGAAATGAGGAAGGCGGGAGGCTTCCCTTCACTCAGAGGGAGCCGCCCTGCGTACCCCTCCTCAGGTCCAGTCTTGCCACTTAATTTGAACATGGACCTTAAATTGTCCTGTTGGTATACATTGTCTTCTCAACTCCATTGAAAAATCTTTCACTGTGATTTCCTCCGTCTTTTATTACTCTCTCCCTGAAAATACGTCATTTTATTTTTCTGTTGCGCCTTTTCGCAGGTTTAAAAATCCATCTTCTGTTCCCACGGGGACCCACCTCACCAGGGCGATGTGTTCAGAGCCTCACTGAGCACAGTAGGTCCTCAAGTGTCTGTGAGTGAATGTCTCAGCGAGGACTGAGGGCCACTCATACCCACTGCCTGCAGCACGCAGCCAGTGACATACTCTCAGCACGGGCTCAGGACACGGTTGCCAATTTGATTTATGGGACTTATTATCCCAAGTGGTGGCAGAGAATAGATATTGACTCAAAAGGGTTTAAATAAATAAATGGATGCACAACCCAGAAAGGGCTATAGACTGAGGAGGGGGGCTCGTAAAGCAGCTGAGGCAGACATTGTAAATGGACACTGGTCCTCTTGAAAACTGTGCCCAAGGGTGTCATGGAGGGACAGACATGAGCTGTGGGGTCAGCAAGCACAGGTTCACACCAGGCTCCATCACATCATGTGACAGGACTGACCTTGGGCAAATCATAGAAATGAGACCTTTGGTGAGGATTGCTGAGAGAAATGTATATATTGCTGTATGCATATGCGTGTATGTGTGTATGTATATGCATGTGTGTGCATATATGTATAGGTTTATGGATATGAGTATACGCATTACATTGTATACATATGCACACATGTGTGCCTATGCATATATATAGGCATGTGCAAGCGTGTACATCTGTATATGCATACATATGTGTGCAAATGTGCACACATGTGCACATTGTGTGTCTACACACATGTGTATGTATATGTATATGCACACAGGCGTGCACGCATGTATACATGTATATGTATTTGCATTTGGATGTGATTCATCCCCTGGCCCATAATGGCTGTTCAATAAATGAAAATTCCCTCTTGTAACACTGTTCTTCTATTCCATTTGTGCACCAGTGAACAAGCTGATCTAAGAACATAGCATTTCTAAAGCTCCCCTATACCGCTCCATATAGTCATTTCAGGCTTTTTCATCCCCATTGGTTCAATACTACCATGATCACTAGGAACAGCAAGTTTCCCTTCTAAATCACTTACAGTGTATTCCAGTTACTGTGGCTGCATAGCAAATTCCCTCAGAATATAGTGGCATAAAACAACCATCTAATTTGCTCATGGATTTTGCGGATGGGGAATTCAGAGGCTGCACAGATTGGGTGGCTGGTCCTGTTACATGATGTCTGCGGCCTCAGCTGGGGGACTTGAATGCTGGGGCTGGTGTCATGCGCAGACTCCTTCACTCACGTCAGTGGGGGGTGCCAGTTGCAGGCGTGAGCTGGGGATGTCAGCTGGGACACCCACATGTGGCCTCTTGGCTTCCTCATAATAGTGGCTGGCTCTAAGGGAGGTGTCCCGAGAGGGGGTGCTCAGTGAAAGGTGTATCACTGTTTATGACTTAGCTTTGGAAATCACAGTGTCACTTCTACTACCTTTTACTGGCAGGGTGGTCACAGAGCTCTGTTGAAGGACACAGATGCCCCTCTTGCTGGAGGAGTGTTGCTGTCACATTGTAAGAAGAACATGTGGGATGGGATGCATATTGGTGTGGCCATCTTTGGAAAATACAATCTGCTGGTCAGGAAGCTTAGGTGACCTCTTATTTGTCAAAAAGCACCGAAGGTTTAGGTATAATTATCTCCATTCTAGAAATGGACAAACTGAGACTCAAAGATGCAAAGTAACTTGCCTTGGGCACTCTATTTAACCTCTCTGAACTTCAGTTACCCCTTCTATAAAATGGGTAGAAAAATCTCTACCTGAGTGGATGGTTATGAGTCTGCAGTGCTTATTACATTAGGGTGTTGGAGGTTTGAAGTTGGGAAGGTGTTTTGTGATTTCTAACAGCCCACGTTAATGCAGAGCACTAATCTTTATTGTTGTAGTATCGTTATTCTCTTACTCTTCACCTACAGCCCCACAGCCAGCTAAGGACCTGAGTCTTTCTCCACATACCGTCGAGAGCAGAAATTGTCCCTGCATTATGGAGGGGGGCTAACTTTCGTGCAGCAGAAGAGCTCATGGCTTCCTTCCTTGCCTGTTTCCATCTTCTAAAAGGACAAGTACCTTGGGAAGAATGTTAATGTTTGCTTATAAATTCCAAACGTGTAACTCTTAATGACTCCTTCAGTCAATTAAGTGCAGGGAGCCCTTTGGTCATAGAAAAACGGCTCCAATGCATTTGTGGTGCACTTCCCCCCTCCTTCCCCCCCCGCCCCGAAAGAAGCAGGATGAAGGACTAGTGTTTTTGCATTAGTTTGTGGATCCCAGAAGGACTCCTCTGACTCCTGGGTGGGCCAAGGACCATCTTGGAGCATCACTCCTTTGGGGATTCACTCTGGGTCCTGTGTCCCTCATCGTCAAGCTACCTGCTAGGGCTATGGCCTTATAAGACCCACTCTCTGCTCTCTTGTCATATTGAGAGGAAAAGATTTCTGCCCTTGACCCCAAACTATATTTGGACAGTCTCTGGGAGGCCACCTGGCTGAGCAGGATGTCCCTGGACCTGGCTGCCTGGGACAGCTGTGGGACTCTCACTGCTTTCAGCTTCTGCTTGACTGGGCTTTAAAAGCTGGATTTCTCCTCCTCTGTCTCAAATCTCCATTATCCCTGACATTCCTCATTACCCTGAACAAAGTAAGTTTTAAAAAATCCCAATAACATAGTTGAGAAAACTGAAGCTCAGAGAGGTGCCGTGACCTGCACAGGGTCACACAGCATGCAAGTGCCAAAGACTCTGAAGGGTCTCGAATCTCCTCTGGGGAAACACCAGCCCCCTGGTGGCAGATAAGCCCAACCCCTTGGAGCTCTAACTCCTCCTCCTTCCCTCATGTCAACAAAAGAAAAATCATTTCCCATTCCTGGCTTCTGTGCCAGATCAGAGAGACTGAGTGACGAAGAAATGTCTCTAAATGTACCTGGATAGTCTTTCTTGGCTTCTCAGTTTCGCTGTCTTTTGTCGTTTAAAATCTCTTTTCTACAGACCCTCAAAATTGCATGTGTGGGGGCCTGGTAACGGCTGCCTTTGTTGTCTCCGGGGTTGGTACCTACTCTCTCGAGTTTGTGTCCCGGGGCTTTGTGCTCAGACTTGACCATGTTTGGGCATGGAGGCTTGTCCCAGATGGGGACCAAAGCACGCTTTCCCAGAGATGGGCTGGGAGCCCAAGCTTCTCGCTGCAGCTCAGGCAGCCTCTTTTGGGGTGGGGGCAGGGGGCCAGGCGAGAAGTGTCTGCCTGCTGAAGACTCCAGGGCACGGGAGACTGTGAGTAGTGCATCCAGAGCCCTTGGGGAGTGGTTTCTCCAACGACCCAGGGTTAGTGGGGAGATCGCGGGGGAGAGACGCTGGCTACAGGAACTTCCTTCCTTAAGGGAGGTCCATCAGGATTCTGGGCTCCAGAGGGGCTGACAGAGGTGTCAGCCGAGAGACTAGAACTGCTGGTGTTGGGGCCCATGGTCTGGTGGCCTACGGGGGGAGTGCTCCATGGCTGGATCACTATAATAGCTCAGTGTCCTGGCCCTCCGGTCCCAGGTCCCAGAGCAGCCGAGGGCAGCCACTTGGAAAGCAGGAGAGCAGGGCCAGTCCCGGCGTTTGATCCCAGGGGAGGAGTGGGACAAAAATTGGCTCCACAAGAGCACTGGAGGCTTCTGCTCCAAACCTTCAGGGCTCCCTTTTTTACACTCATAGCTAACGCTTAGTGAGTGCTGGCGCTGGCCAGACACTGTGATCAATAAGTGATATTTGGTGTGTGACTTGATCTTTGTCAGAGCTCCCTGGAGCAGGTACTACTATTCTCATTTTATAGACATGGTTGCTAAGTGGCAAAGTCAGGATTCTATCCCAGATCTGCTGACCTCAGAGTCCTCCCTGCCCCACACTCCACCAAACCCTTAAACACTATACTCTACGCTCTGTCCTTAAGGAAAAGAATAACCAAAATACCAGGTCTAGCGGACCCTCCAAAATCCTACCTTCTTTTTCATTCTCCATCTTTCCTAAATTCACCCGAGACTTTGAGTGACTTTTCTCAATGGGAGATACATCCAAAAAGTATAGAGATATTTAGCAACTCTCAAAAGTGAGAAGTTCTTCTCGGAGTCTAACTGAAATCCCTCCTCTTGTAACAGCAATCCATTTCTTCCTGTCCAGGCTGCAGGGGATGTCAGCAGTTCCTACCCTTCCTCCTGTCTGAAGCCCCTCACTGTGTTTGTTAAATCCTATCCACCCTGATAACCATATCCATGCCCATGTCCTCACCCCATTCTCTTCTCCTGAGTGGTTTTAGGAGCATTTATCACAACTCTGCAAACCTATTTAATCTGTGTAGGTAACAATCTCACCAGAGCATTACAGACAAGTGGGATCTGAACAGACAGCAGGTTCGAAACTTCTCTGTGACAGGGGGGCTTCTCCTCTCCCCTCCTGTCCCCTCCCCTCCCCTCCTCTTCCCTCCCATCCTCTCTCCTCTCCTCCCGTCCCTACTCCTCTCCTCGCCAATCCTCTCTCCTCCTCTCCCCTCTTCCAAGTCCAAAGGCATTGAGGTGTCAGTAGGGCTGCACACTATCCAGAGGCTGAGGGGACAAGCCATTGTTCCCTGTCCCCTCTGGCTTCTGGTGGCTGTTCACACTTCCTGGCATGTGGCCTCATCACTCCAGTCTGTCCTCCCTGGTCATATTACCTTCTCCTCTTGTCAAATGACCCTTGCGATTACATTTAGGGTCTACGTGGATAGTCCAGAATCATCTCCCCATCTCAGCATCCATAAATTCTTTACCCTGTAAAGTACCAGTTGAGGATTCCAGGGCTGAGAATACGGACCTCCTCTTCTGATAGACCATTACTGAGCCTATCGCACACTGTGTGCCCTTGGACTAGTCAGTCTACCTCTCTGGGCCCCAGATCCTTCAACTGTAGAAAGGGGATGATACTTGCCTCTCGGAGCTGATGGGAGGCTTATATGGGGACAAGAAAGCCCTCTGAAGTTGCAAAGCTCCACGTAAAACTAGAGGTGATGTTGATCTTTGAGTACCCTCCCTTCTTACTTGTCCCCCTTTGTGGGGACTACCTGTTGCCTGAGCTCATCTCATGTCTGTTTGCCTCTGTGGCTCCAGAAATGATCACTGCCTGCGGTGGACATGGGGAAGAAGCTGGTGATGGCCCAGAAGCGGGGAGAGACTCGAGCCCTTTGCCTGGGTGTGGCCATGGTGGTGTGCGCTGTCATTGCCTACTATATCCTGGGCACGACCATGCTGCCCCTCTACCAGAAGAGGTACTGAACTCTCCTGGCTGCCCCCCTCCTCCAGCCATTCTCCTAAGGGTCTGGTCTTCCAGGAACCCCGGCCTTCTTTCTACCCCTCCCCTTGACTTCACATCAGGCAAGCAGGTCTGGACAATCCCCAATATTAGGGTCAATTTAGGGTTAACCCCCTAAGTGCGGGGAGGGGCAGCCTGACTGGACCCTACTCCTCTGTGGTTCTGGGACCTGGGGGCGGAAGACATAGGAGGTCCTTCTCACATGAAACAGTGAAGGATCAGAGCAAATGCTCCAGCATGAGTTTGATTCCAGGAGAAATGAGAGTTCTAGATTTTCATAGCTCATTTGCACAGTTTGACTCCTCTTCTGAAACCTCCCAGTCAGATGTGCGTCTATTCTCCTGTTGAGTATCTCAAGTGACAGGGAGTTCAGTACTTCATTGTACATAACATTTCATCTTGGGGCTTTTCAGAGTAGGAAATGTAGCACTGGGCCAAAGCCCACTCCCCTGGAGCTCTGCTCTGGAATCTCAGAGAATGTTCCATGCCCTTGTTCCCTGACATGTCAACCACTCGCACTTTTAAAGGAAAAGGTGTGAGGTTCCGGATCCCTTCTCTATTTGGAACAAACACTCAGTCCTCTCCACTTGCTTTTTGAGGACACGTCTCAGAGCCTCGCCTCTGGGCATGCTCCAGCTGCTAACAGCCCCTCCATCTGGCAATGTGTGTCCTGCCTGATAAACGGGAGATGAGTCACAATTGATTCGCTGATGTGTTGATGAGGCTGTTAGCCTCCCTTGGTCTTGCTTCTTCCTGACTTTTTATAAGCCTGGAGTGATTCCAGGTTGGAATCTTACCCGAGAGAAGCGCTGTACGGGACTACTGTGTGCCTCTGACATGTTATCTCCAGGTTAAGCGCCCTCCCCACCAACCTCCCTACCCTGGAACAAATCCAGTCCCTTCTACATCTGCTCTTCTTAGGGGAAAAGGCACAGATTCTGAAGCTACTTAGACCTGCCTGTGTGGCCTCTGTGTGGCCTCAGAAAAGTCCCTTGGCCTCAGAAAAGTCCCTTGACTTTTCTGAACTCTTCTTCCACCTCCTGCGTGGCGGGAATGGTGTGGCTAAGGCATCTCAGGTCTGGCTACTCATCAGAATCAAGGCAGGGGGATGTTAAAAACATACCAGGGCCTGGGTCTGCCCACCTTAGATATTCTGAGTCACTTGTTCTTGGCCATGGCTTGGACATGAGAATCTTTTCAAAAGCTCCCCGGGGTTTGGGGTTTGCAGCCTGGGTGAGAATCATTTATGTAGATGATACGTAAGAGGCTAAAAAGCATTGATATTCTGATTCTATGGTTCTTGTGAGTGGGGTCACACTCCTCTATAGCAAGATGAAGGTCCCAGCCCTAGTCTCTGTGAAGGGGTTAAGCCTGGTGCTCTGTGCCTCCCAGGTTCTGAGATATATATGTGTGTGTGCATGGTCTCCCCAGTGTGTGGACCCAGGAATCCACGTGCCACCTGATTGAAACCAACATCAGGGACCAGGAGGAGCTGGAGGGCAAAAAGGTGCCACAGTACCCATGCCTGTGGGTCAATGTGTCAGCTGTGGGCCGGTGGGCCATGCTGTACCACACGGAGGACACTCGCGACCAGAACCAGCAGGTACTGACTGTGGTGGGGTGGGGGGGGAACATATTCCCCTGCCCCTGGCAAGTGTGTGGGCCTCTTCCTAACTGGATCTGCATCCCCATTCTAGAGAGTGAAGGCTGAGAAAGCTGAGCCTACATGATGAGGGTCCACAGCTGGTGTGAGGTCTAGCCAGGCTTAGCTCTTCTGGTTTGGAGTCAGACAGATCTGGGTTGGAATCCTTGCTCTGCCATTAGCTGCTGTATGACCTGGGGCAGGCACTGAGCCCCTCTAAGCTCAGCTGCCACCTTTGCTGGAGTGTTGTTATGAAGACAGAGGCTGTGTAGTGTGCAGAGTTCAATGTCAGGTGGATAGCAGGCACTTCTATAAGGTGAGTCAAATGAGAGACCAAAGCCAGAGCTGAGCCAAGGTATCCCCCTCCGTCCCCCCAGGAACCAGAGGCCCAGGGGTGGAGCAATCTCTGGAAACCAGTGCTTGGGAGATCTTCCCATCACTACCTCCTTGTACCCCCTACCTACCATCCTAGTCTTTCCTATAGAAAATACAAGTTGGCCTTATCCACTCACTCATTCACTCATTCATCCAATAGTTACTGGGCACTTCCTGCGTCAGGAGCTTTGGATGCAGGAAGAGAGAGCTCATATGGGAGATAATATCTAGTGGGGAGGGATCAGTGCCGTAGAGAGGAACAGAGAATATTATGGGGTCAAGGGCAGGAGTAACTGTTTCTAGCCAACAGCAAGGTGAGGGTGTCAGGAAAGTGGGTTTGTCTTTAAAAACAACAGGTATTAGATACACAGAAACATGGAGGGCAACATGCACGGCAAGGGGAGGGCATAGAAGAGAAGGTACTAGAAGGCGTGCTGCAGAAACTAACGCAGAACTCAGGGGGACAGGAAGATGCTACAGAGGTGGGCTTCACATGACCCACCTATGGAATCAGAAAGGTTTTTGTTTGTGAAAGGTTTTTGTTTGTTTTTTTTTTGAGAGAAGCAAAGCTTTAATGAAAATGCTACAAGTTATGGATAATAGTTAGTTCCCATGTTTAAAAAAAAACAGATAATTGAAAACACTTTACTGATTTTTTTTTTTTTTTGCTAAAAAGATAGTCTTTAAGGATATCCAAGTGAAACAGCAAACACAACACAATAGGAAAGGAGAAGTAAGGGCTGAATTCCAGTGCAGGACACAACACAGCCCCATTAGGGAAGTGGGTGGAAGAACCTATCCTACAACAGACAGAGTTAGACTCTTATAGTCAATAGAGATTTTCTTTTAAGGCTTTAGGAGTCCAGCATAAGGAAGGGAATTGGGGAAGGGCTAAGTTTGTCTACAATCACCATTTTACCAAAAAACACACTGATTCAGAGAAGTAGAGGTCGATCTGCCTGAATAGCAAATAGAGCAAATGCCAAGGCAGTCCGATCAGGACAGGTCTCTCATCAACCTGGGCTCAGGACAGACCAAGTTCCTTTGCATTTGTATCAGAAGGCCAGAGCTTTATCTGGAACAAGTTCACTCCAGATAATGCTCCATGGTGCTGATTTTAGCAGGGGGTGGGGGTCATAAGTGCCTCCGAACCGATCCACCATCTCCCCTAGCATTTCCCAGGAAATGGCTCTACTGGTTACCAGGAATTTAAATTCAAGTAGACCATAAAGGAGGGAAATGCTAATGATGTCCTGGCACAGTACAAGCTGTGTGTCTGTCATCTCTGCCAAGCACTACGCAATTATGGAATTAAAATGTGATCAGGCAAGCTGGCACTGCTCAATCTGGCCAGCATTGGAACCGCGTGGGGACTTAACGAAGCTGGGCTCCTACACCAGACCAACTGGTACAGAATTTTAGGGCTCTCTAGGTGTTTCTAAGGTTTAGAATTACTTCTGCAAGCAAACCGGAGTCTTTAAAAGGTCTGTGGTCCTGGGGGCAGGACCAGAGTGCTCCAGAGGAGTGTGAAGTTCAGTGATCAGGCAGAGAGGCTGGGCTATGACAAGCGGCCAGGATGGAGGTTGGGCCTGCAATAGGGATGCCTGCTGACAGTCAGAGTTTGGCAACTGAAGGGATGGGAAGGGCAGGGCGCTGACGGTGCGCAGTGGGATTACTGACAGTGTTGGGGGGTCACAGAGAAGTGGGTCTGGACAGCGCAAGGTCGCCAGCCTCACCAGATGGGGGTAGAGCTCCCTGGGCCCCCGAATCAGCTCCTACTAGGACCCCTGCTCTTCTTTGGCATTCAGTGGCTGCTAACTTACCCCAAGGAGCAGGAAGCAAATTTCCAAAGACAAGCAGGAGTGATCACTGGTGTGATAGGAATTGGGAGCAGGCCGTCCTGCAGGCTGTCTGCCTGACCCTGACCCTGAGGTTACCAGTTCAGAGGAGCAAGGGACCAGATCTGCCCCTAGAATGAGCTGTCCGCAGCACGCGAGACACGCCTCTGCCTGGACCTGTAGGGACAGTGCAGGCTGGTAGCCACCGGCTCTTCTGTCTTCTCTCTCCTAGCACCCAGGCATCACCAGGAGAAATGCTAAAGGCAGGCTGCTGCTCTGGTGGGACAGTGAAAGTCCCCTATGCGGTTTTGCCAAGCAGCTGGGTCTTTGCACCAGCTACCCCGTCTACTTTCAGTAGGCTCTGGGGTACAGGGAGCCCGTACTCGGAGCCAGCTGGGTGTGCTCTGGATTCACGTGTGAAAGGCCAGTCAAGGCTGGCTCCCCCCAGCTCACTCTGAGGAAAGGGGCTACTGGTCAGCTCCTGGTTCTCCCACCAGCCTTAGCGTGGGAGGTTCTAAGCCCCTTTGCATGATCTGTGCTGAGAACAGCAATGTCACAGGACTTGGGGGAAAGGTTGGACCTTTTCAGATCCTTCATATAACTTGGGGGTAGCTGGGTCTAGGGCAGGGGACAGAGGGTGCAGTTAGCCCCAGGCCTCTGAGGTCAGTCTTGCAGAGTGAACTCTTGTCCAGTGTCTTGTCAAAAAGCCCCACCAAAGGATCCCGCATGACCACATGCTGGCAAAGGACCCAGAGTGGCCCAGGGTGGGCACGAGCCCCCACCTCAGAGCTTATCCGTGAGTCCCTCTTTAAGAATGGAAAGAGCTGTTGTTGTAATTTCATAGTTAAGTCCCATTATTTTTGATAGCCTCTTCCATTTACTGAGCGCCTGCTATGTGCTGGGTTCTGTGCTAGGTGTTTTCCATGTATCACCTCCTCTAATGTCCTCACAAACCCATTTTACAAGACTTGGATAAGTTGTGGCACTCACCAAGGTCACACGACTTGGAACGGATGGCTGAATCCAGGTCTATTTGCCTCCACAGCCACACCTTTACTCAAAAGAGTAGGTTACCCAAAGTCATAGTCAGAACTCAGAATTCTGAGTTCACCTGCTACTGGGACTCTGCAGTGCCCAACAACTTTGACTGTCAATTCCTTCCTTGGAGGCAGCTTTCTTTAGCCTCAGTTGCTCCCTGGCCAGCTGGGAACCTATTCCAGCAGCAGCCCCCCAACTTCCCAAGCTGTCAGAACCAAGATGCACCATTCTCTTTACTGTGGATGACTGCTCTCAGGTCTGGCAGCTTTGGGGATGGGTCTCATTTCACATCCAAGAAGTGACCAAGGCCTGGGGAGAAGCTGGCTCAACATTACACATTTTGACCTTGGACATGATTATACTAGGTCAGTGGTCTCAAACCTTTGTGTGTGAAGGAATCATTTGTCTTCTGAGCCCCGCCCTCAACAATTCAGAGTCAGTAGGGAGCTATGCTCTGGCCAGGTGGTCTGCTGCAGATTCTGTGGCGGGGGACCACCTTGCAGAACATCTCCCAGAGCCTCACGTGCATACTGTTCAGGCCTCCTGGCACAGAATGTGGATAAATCCAGGGTCTTCACTTTGTGTGTCCTCTGCAGAGCTTTCTAGCTGGACCTCACTGACCAGGCCAGAGGCTCCTAATAACAACCACCAGTGTCAGAATCAAGTGTGTGTCGTGCTCTCCCTGCACAGACTCCTTCAAATGTACTGTCTCTTTCCTTTGAATCCCAGTGTCAGATACTAGCTTGCGATTATCTTCTGCTTGGCTCACATAGGGCTAGACCCCGGAGGGTTTTTGATTCAGATTTTCGCCAGTGTTTTAAAATTGTGGGAGTTCACATTAACATTTGGTGTTCTGCCTTTTCTTGAAATGTTGGAGGCCCGGCTTTCATAGGTCTTCGGGATCCCAAGGCATCCATCGTCCAGATGGAGTGATGTCACTGCCAGTCTGGATGCTTCTGGCTCTCTTCATTTCACCAGGCCCCACCATTCCCCAGACAGCTGCCCCTGGCACCAGGACAAGTGTCAGCTGGCACATGTCATCTCTTCCTCGCCCTTGCCCCTTCACTTCACATGTGGACATTACAGTATGAGCCCCGTGGGCAATCGAGTGCACGACCTCTGCCCTGGATCCAAATGCAGAGCCCACTCGGTCTGTGTCACTTATTGGTCAGTTAAGTTCAAAGCCCTTCTTTAATAACATCCTTGGAAGGAGATACTGCTATTAACCCATTTAAGAGATGAGATATCAAGACCGAGAAAGGTGAGCAATTTGCCTAAGGTTCTACAGTCAACGGAAGCAGAGCCAGGACTCTGGTTGGGCCCCCGCCTCCAAATGTGCGGCATGTACCCTGAGCAGCTCCTGGGCCACTGTCCTCACAAATGACACCGTGAAGGTGTCCTCTAGAACCAAATAGAGCACAGCCTCCCAAGCTTCATCCAGTCCCAACACCCACCTGGGGGCCCAACTCCAAAGCCAACACTTTCCCTTACTTCGTGCCAGCCCCTCAACTCGCCCAGAGAAACAGGGACTTCCAATTTCATGGCTGCTCTTGCTTCCCTTCACAGTGCTCCTACATCCCAGGCAGCCTGGAAAACTACCAGGTAGCCCGGGCCGACGTGGAGAAGGTCAGAACCAACTTCCACAAGCACCGGATTTTCTACTGCTTCTCAACGACTCGGGAGAATGAGACCACTGTCCTGTACAGGCGCCTCTACGGGCCCCAGACCCTCCTCTTCTCTCTCTTCTGGCCCACCTTCCTGCTTACCGGTGGCCTCCTCATTATTGCCATGGTGAAGATCAACCAGTCCCTTTCCATCCTGGCGGCTCAGAGGTAGACCACAGCCAGGTCACAGGGGACTGGGTTGGCCCCCAGGCCTCTCTCTACTTATGTATCCGTGTCTCCTTCCCCTGTCTTCTCACTGTTCTGCTCCTATCCATCCCAGTTCTGCTGTGGGTGGGCCTTGGGAGATTCCTTTGTTAAGTCATTCCCCATCAGGAATATATAACAGCTTCCTGGGTGCTTCAGAGAGCTCCAGGCCAGCTGGTAACAGCTTCTCATTACCTGTCCCCACCCAGCTGACTTAAACCCATTTTCTACTGCACCGCTGACCCTGACCACAGACAGCAATGATGCTTATCTCTGTGCCTATGTTCTCTCAGTTGGCTCAAAAGCCAACCTTTGCCATCCCTGACAAACCTCTGTTCCCTCTTTGAATTCCATAATAAAAACAATGGCAGCTCCCACGTATGCAGAACATTTAGAATATTGCTTTTAGGCCACTAAATGCTATATGCATTTTTATTCCAATATTAACACACATAGGCACAAATTTCTAGTTGTAAACTACTTAAGTCACGGGATGTAATGTATAGCATGGTGACCATAGTTAAAAATTCTGTATTACATATTGGAAAGTTGCTAAGAGAGTAAATCTTAAAAGTTCTCATCATAAGAAAACAAATTTGTAACTCTATATGGTGACAGATGCTAACTAGATTTATTGCAGTGATCATTTTGCAATATATACAAATAATCGAATTATTATGTTCTACACCTGAAACTTATGTAATGTTACATGTCAATTATACCTCAATAAAATATACATATATATAAATATCAAGAGGCTATAAGGAAATATGCTAAAATATATCAAAATATTAACAGTGGAATTGGGATGGTGGTTAAATTTTAATTTTCTTCCTCATCCTTCTTTTCATATTTGGTACTTTTCTAAACTTTCAGCAGTAGGACGGTGTGGTTTCATTAGGTTTGTTTTTAATGAGAAAAGCAACGGTAGATATTATTTTAAAAAGATTTGGAATAGTGAGCCTCACGTCACTAAGCAGGTGGAAATGGACTGGGGAGGAGTTGGGCTCCAGTCAGAGGTAGGTCTTTGAGAACATACAGTTTTAAGAGCCCTCTATGGAAGGAAGGTAACCACATAGATGGGGATGTATAATTTACAATGCAGGTAAGTATAACGCACTGGCCCTGCAAGGGAAGCTTGTCTCACACTTGAAAAGGGCATAAGTTGAGGACCTAAGGTTCTAAGCCATCGTCTCTACTGTTACTACTTCAAGAAGTTTTCTTAGAGCAGTGGTTCCCAAAGTACAGTCCCTGGTCCAGCGACATCAGCGTTCTGGGGAGACTTGGGAGAAATGCACGTTCTCAGGCCCTGGCTGAGCCCAAGGGGTTGTGGTGGAGTGGGGTGGGGTGGTGGGTGGAGGAGTGTTAACAATGGCTGCAGGGGCTTCTGAAGTACCTTCAAGTGTGAGAACCACTGGGGGAGAGAACCCGTGCCCTGTCACCGGTCTTTTCAGAATGGATGGATGACTGTTGGACAGCGCAATTCCTGAGCTGGATGTGAAGTTAGGCTGACATCTCTGAAGTTCCTTCTGGAGCTGTGATTCTAGACGCAGCCCCAGGGTATAAATCTTGTCTCTGCCTCTGCCAGATTTCATCTCTCAGATTCTCAGTTGTTTCATCTTTAAAAAGTGACTCCTCCTTTCGGGTAGTTGGGAGGGCTGAAGAAAGGTTTGGCACATGGTAGATGACCAGAATGGAAGCAGTTGTTAACAACCGTAATAAGTAATAAATACTCAGATGCTCTCAGAAGCAATTATACCACAGATAATGTTAGCTAGCATTTATTGGTGCTTATGTATTACATGCCAGGCACTGTGCTAAGCAGTTTGCCTCGTAAAAATTCAGCAAGGTACTACTGAGCTTACCTCAGAGAGGAGAAGCAGCACAGGACAGTGGTTAAGCATGTGAACTTGCAATGTGGACTTCCTGGCTTCAAATACCCAACCCTGCCATTCACTAGCTCAGTGACTTTGGACAAATACCTCAGTTTCCTCATTTGCAAAATAGAAGCTAATAATACCTCCTTTTTAGGATTGTTGGTATGAAATTAGTTATTCTATTAGCTTCCTAGAATGGTGACTGGTAAGTGCTCTATAAGATATGAAAACCTGAAGCTCTAAGGTGTCATTGGCCAAGGTCATCCATATACCAGGTGAGGAGCTAGGAATCAAGCCCTGGGCTGTGTGATTCCAGAGCGGACTGTCAACCACAGTACTTGAGCAGACTTAGCTGAAGGGCTGAGGGCACCAGTCCCCTAAAGCCCCAGGGACCAGGTAAGGAACAGTGTTGCATCCCTGGAACCCAGTGCTGCTCTCATATAAGTCAGGGATGTGAGAGGAGAGCATCTGTAATCTGCATGAACATCTCTCACTTTCAACCAGAGAGCCCTGATATACCCCATACCCTCTGGGTTCTTACCTGGGGACATTCCTTCCCAGGGGAGTACACCATTTCCCAGAGGTTCTCCCTTCTGGGATCAGGAAAGTTTCAAGAGTCCTCTGAGTCTTTAAAGAAAGCCTCAGAGACGACATTGTACCATGGTAATTGTATTAACGGTAAGACATTACCACTGGAGGAAATTAGACAAAGGGTACAATGGGATCTCTCTGTGTTATTTCTTCCAGCTGTGTGGGAATCTGCAAGTATCTCAAAAATTTAAGTTTGATTTAAATAATAATAAGAAAAAGTTCCCACCATAAGTGTCACTTAAAGGGACTCCTTCGCATATGGTTTTCAGGCATCTTCATTGGGGGCTAAAATACAGAGAAACTCAAATAGCCCCTGAGAGGGGAAGAGCCATGTCCCTCTAGAAAAACGCCCAGCCCCCAGTACCCCATGCATGATTAATAATGACCTTCATTGGCGTGGGACACATGCCCTCCTCCTGTCAGTGAGACTGGATTATATCTGCCTGCTGCTCACAGAACTCCATGTACAGGATAGGCATGAAATAGTGGGCATTTGAGCATGATAAGTTAGACACTGAGGAAAAATGTTTTTTGGGATAATAGCTGCCTAGGAGCAGAAAGCCGTCATCGGTGCTTAATAAATCATTGCTAATGAGCATCTCGTGTTTCCACCATTTTTGCTTTTCATCTCACAGGCCAGTGACTCACACCTGGAAAGATGCACCTGCCTTGCTCCCTCCTTCCCCTTCCCTGGGACTCAGCCCATGTGGTTGGGATCAGAGACAGGGGACGGGAAGGGCAGAGATCAATCAGACCCAGTGCCTGCCTTCAAGGAGCTTTTCCATCCAGCCTTCCTGCCCCACTCCCCACCATTACCAAGGCCTTTCTTCCCCACAGTCAAGAACCTAACTTATGCAAATTCAAAATAGTGCAACCTGAAATACTAATATCTTTCTGTGAATTATTGAAATGATTGCAGCCCCGCTCCATCAACAATTTGTCCAGAATTTCTCCTAATTTTAAAACTCCTTCTTTAGGCATGTGGATTGTAAATTGCATTCATTCTATTGCTAATAGACAGTACGGGCTGGAGCATAAACATATCTCACGTCTTTCGGAGTAGAGTCACGTTCAGGGAATTTTGACATATTTGGGAATATACTGTTTGAACAAAGTGTAGCTATCCGACACCTCACCAGTGGCTGCCTTTTCACATGGAGTGACAGGAGAAAGATTAAAGCAAGATCAGAAAGGCAGGGAGGAATTCACCCCGGTCTAGTGTAGCGTTTCTCAGAGAGAAGGCTTGCAAGGCCAAAAGTGTTCACTGTGATATTCAGATGTTCAGCTTCTTCCTAGATTTCTGTAACTCTCCTTTCCCACTCACATGAAATAGATGATCCCTGCCAGGAGCTGCACCAGCCTCTCTGGATGGCAGTCACAGCAAGGACATGGAAGTGTTTGCAGAGCTCCTGCCATGAGAAACATAAATTGGTATCTCCTTCTGCTACTACTGGCTCATGTTGGAAATGAGCCTGCTGGTATTGACCAGGCCTCACAATATTCCATATCAGACCCATATCCTGAGCACAGATACCTCATAAGGAAAAGCATATTCTTGCCTTTACAAAAGAGATTTCAGATGAAAGCCCTGTGGGTGATTGTCAAAAGGCTCTTCCTATGGGCCTTGCAGACCCAAGACTTAGATAATAAAGGGGGTTAAGAACACAAGAGTTACAATTGAGCCTGGCCCTGAGACAAAGAGCCTATTTTGGGGTTAAGAGCACAACACAGTTACTACATATATCTTTGCTAATTGGTGAAGCATAGCAGTCCCTTCCTCAAGGCCTACATTCCATAAACACCCTCCCTTACACTGGCAGCTGGGATGAGGATAGATAAGAGTAGCTAAAACATAAACCCAGGTGCAAAGACTGACACATTTAGGGCCCCCATGATAGTTTCCACAAACAAACCAATTCAGAAACATTCATCCTCTTGAGAGCCAGACAGAGTGACTCCTAGCTTATCTATATACAATTTAACTTATATGTTTTCCTGTTTTTCACTAAGAACATTCTGTTATTTCCTTGGTTTGAATAATTCTGCAATTGTTATCATATTAGGCCTCCCATTTTAAGAAATTCTTTTCTTTGATTTCATGTTGTTGCTGAACTTTTAAATAAAGACACCAAAACCGACAGGACAGAGATGTCTGCCTGGTGGTCAGAAAGAATCTCGGGACTCTCTCACTCTCTCTCTCTCGCTGACACCGTCCATCCTTCAGGGACCCCTGGACCAGCTGGAGCCGGCCTCCGACAGATCCCCAGTTAACTTCCTTAAAGGATTTGGGGGATGGGGAAGTGCTGGATATAGATGCAAAGCCAACAACTTCCAGCTGACAGGTGGACAAAGTTGGGGATTTATACAAAGGCTTGCATCTTCTTCCTCAGTTGCAATCTTTAATCTCTTATAGTCTCCATCGCCCCTTCCCAAGCTCCCTCTTTCCTGATATACATGAACTAAAAACAGGGCCTTGCTAAGTACACGCAGCTTCAAGACATGCTTTCTCTCTCCACTCCCAGTGAGATGGTTGCACTGAATCCTTCCGTGTCAATCCTTCCGTGTCAATCCTGCTGGTGGACTCCCCTTTGATTTCTCCTGTTCAAATACAAGCTCATGTTCTCTGTAGGTCAGTAGTTCCTTCAAGATCATCTAGTGCTTCCCCACTTTTTAATCTGGTGCTTGGATCCTCTCTACAACATTCCTCTTCAGTCACAGTCTACATCAACATCCTTTTGGTGAGTAACTCATTGTACCAGCAGGCAGCCACTTCCATTTGGGGATATGTTTAGCAAATCCCTCCCTGTACAAGAATGTGTCATCCCTAATAGTAGGAAGAGCTAACATTTGTTGAACACTTGTAGGCCAGGAGCTGGGCTAAGCTTTTACACGTATAGCTCATTTAATCCTAACCATATTCTTTAGCGTGTTATTGCTATCTTCACATCCTACGGGAGACGACCGAGGCACAGGGGAGGAACTGAACTTGTCACAGTGCTGAAGTTAGTAAAATGCTGAGCTGGGATTCAAACCTGGACAGTATGTCTTCAGACCTTATTCTCAAAGCTCTGTGATTCCTGCCTCACAGCCTCTGCTCCATAACAAATGGAGAATGCCGAG